TGCAACATATCCAATTTTTTGAAGGGCTCTTTGAGCTGTCCATCGACTTACATCTTTATTTATCTCTAAAGAAGCCCCCTTAGGCGTTAAGAACTTGTCCTTTCTCATATTAGCCATAATATGACGAGGCAGACAAAGTCCCGACGTCAGAAATTTGTAGTATGCCCAAAACGTTGGCATCTGTGACACATAGCTGTTTCGATTCTCCGTAACTGCCGTTCCACTGTAACCCGCTAGTTACCGGATAGTAACAGATAGAATTAACGTTTTTGACGTTTAAATTATCCAAAGACGGTGCAAGTTCAACTTCAAATAAATCCAGTGGCTTGTGACTGCGGCGGTGCCTAATGTTGTTTATATAGCGGACGGTGAAGCCCAAGTTGTTTGAGCTTGCGGATTTGGTCATAAGGTGTGGGGTACTGAAGCCGACGAATAATTAGTCTATACCACCAATTAGTGGTGGATCAGCATTTTTGCATTTTTACATTTTTGAGCTTGATCACTTTATCTCTTTCTCCTTGGCTGCTTTCGTTGCTCTATGGGTAAGAATAGCTGTAAGCAATGGGTGTAAGCGATGCAACTAGTGGGTGGTTACCAAAACTAGCAAGCAGCAGTAAATTTGTGATCCTGAGATTTTCGTTTCACTTGTCAAGTCAGTCGTAAATTGGTGTCCAATTAGAGAACATGGCAAGTGAAGCTGAAAACATTAGGCAAAAAATTGAAACCGGCGAGAAAAAAAAAAAATGGAAAAAAATATCAGATTCAGATAAGAAGGTAATAAAAAGATGATCTTGGATCGTGCAGGACTGCCGCTCTTTTTCCGCAGTATAGGATGATTTACTTCCCGATCCCAGTACACTGAGACGAAATACAGCAAAGGAAGCTGCCGAAAAACGGGAAGAACTGGCAGAAGATATTGGCGCTGCAGTGAACGCAGGAGCACTATCTTCCACATGTAAACGAATCAATATGTGTAGCGGAAATTCCTTGGCGTAACCGTTCACTTCTTCAAAAATTCACGGCTCCAAAGTCTGGTCGTAGGCCTCAAGGGGAGGTTCTTTTGGATTTTTTTGGAAAAATCGATTTTTTTTTTTTTAACAAAATGAAAGTTAAATATGTGTAGAATATAGGGATATAGGGAATATAGAATATAGAATATAGGGGCCAAGGGATATTTCGATGCGACGCGTATTTCTTGAGCTAGAGCGTTTCAAACATACCCATGATAACAAGAAAGCTATCTAAAGGCAAAGTTTCTAAAAACTTTAAACGCGTTTTTCTCGGAACCATGTTTTTAAACCTCTTGTCGCGCACAGGGCTCGTTCTATTGATCCGATTTCATTCAAAAAATGTTTAAAAGTACATACTTTTTGTATGCCTTATACCTAAAATTGGCATAAAAAATTATTTATTTATAATTTTTAAACGAGATCAAAGTAAAAAATAAGAGAAAAAATGTCATTTTTTTGTTTAAACGTCCATGAAATTGGTTTATTTTTACCAAAATTAATTGTCGTTAGGTATAAGGCATAGGAAATTGCATCATTTTTAATAAATTATATACATTTCTAATTTAAGTTCACTACCAGTTCACTACACAAGACAAAGCAGAAAAATAGAGGTCTACGAGATCCGCCATTTTGAAGCCGCCATTTTGAATTTCCTGAATATTGAATTTTTTTTTTAATCGTTTATAAACAACGAATCAAAAGTTCAAAAGCATAAGTTCGTATGTCTTTTCATTTTCCCGCAATCCATTCTCAAAGACTGCTTAATTTTCGGAAAAATCCATAAGAACCTCCCCTTAAGTCGATGGATTTCAAGAGTTCGACGGGTGAAAATATTTCCCCAAAAATTAAGGAGTCTTTTCTTTGAGTTTAAGGTTGAAAACCTGGACAAAATAAAATTCGGCACTGATCGAGGTGCCAATATTAAAAAGGCGTTGGAAGGGAATATCCGAATCAATTGCAGCACTCACCTGTTGGTGAACGCTTGGGACGGTCTTTTGATCAGGCAACTGATTTGAGTGGAACTTTGAGCGCGTGCAAAAAGGTGTCGAATTTCTTCAAAAAGGCGAATTTGCAGCACCATTTGGATACCACCTTAAAAAACTCTGCCCGACTCGTTGGAACTCACAGTTCAGAATGCTTAAATCCATAGTTGACAACTGGGGTGAGGTTAATAAAATAATAAGTGAGACACCAACGGCACCTGCCCTAAATGTAAATTTCGTAGAATTAAAAGTATTAATCCTTCTTTTAGAGAATTTTGAGAGGGTCTTTAAGGAACTTTAAAGATGTAAAGTTCCCTCTCTTTTTTATTTAATTCCTTCTATTAGTAAGATTTTTTAAGTATGCGAACCAGAATTAGCAGAATTCTTAAGTATTCAAATTTTAAAAGAATCTATTTTAATAAACATTGATAAAACTTGGAAGCAAAATGTAAGTATTTGGCATAAAATTGCATTTTTCCTCTACCCTCCTGCTTCACATCTTCAAACAGATGATATTTTTGAAATAAAATCCTACTTTGTATACCTAATTGAAACCAATTCAACATATAGGTTCTCCGACACAGACTCCATTTTTAGTTTCAACAGAAGTAACAATAGCCCAATAACATTGGCACAGCAATCTGTTTCAGTCCAACAGTCTTTTTTTTCTCAAACTTAGTGCAGTCAAATTATTACACTTCGGAATCTGCATTAGATGAAATACCTCAGTAAAATTGATATTTGTGCAAAACTTATTTTTGATGTAACGGCTATTCAAATAACTGTGTTAATATTTCGAGTATACAAAGTTTTTCTCGTATGCTTTGACATGCGTTTCTATGCATTTATTTCTTATCTGCTTTGAATCTATGGTCCCGATAGGATTTAGAAGAAGACAAAGTCATGCGTTTAGTAGAAAGTTGATATTTGTGCAAAGTTGCGCATTTAGATTTTGAGCTCGACACGTCAACTGACGTCCAGCAAAAAGTGGTTTAATTTAAGAAATTGTTAATTTCTTAATGTAAAAAGTTTATATTGTTGCCATTTTTGATCTTTTTCGCGAGATTTCTAACATTATTAATTAAAAATGCCGCGTGCACTCGAATTAAGTGAAAAAGAGAAGACTCAAATTAAAACAATGGCTGAGTGTGGCGTTAAACTTGGCGAAATTGCCAAAAGAATTAATAGGCATCGCAATACAATTGGAAATTATTTGAAAAACCCACAGAAATATGCGCAAACGAACCGCAAGGGAGCCGTTTCGAAAATAGACGCGCGCACTAAACGGCACATACGAGCCTTGGCAACAGCTAAGACAATGAGTTGTGCACAAATAAAAGCGGAATTGCAATTGCCAATAAGCAGACAAAGAGTGCAACAGATTTGCAAAAAAGATTTGAACTTGCAGTATGATGCAAAGGTGCACAAACCAAAGCTCTTACGAAGACATAAGATGGCCAGGCTTGCATTTTACGAAAAGTACAAATTTTGGGAAAATGAATTTGAAAAAGTGATTTTTAGCGATGAGAAAAAGTTTAATTTGGACGGCCCAGACGTTAACCAAAAGTATTGGAGGGATCCTAGGCATCCAAGACAGACTTGCCATAAACGAAACCACGGTGGTGGCTCACTTATGGTTTGGGCCGAAAGTCTCCTATATGCTTTGTACCTGGACGGATAAATGCGCAAATGTATACGGATCTCCTAGAAAGTGAACTTATACCATTTGCAGATGAGTTGCATGGCGAGGACTGGATATTTCAACAGGATAACGCTCCTATACACGTTGCGAGGTATACGATGTCGTTCCTGGAATCGAAAAATATACCCCTATTGCAGTGGCCAGCAATAAGTCCGGATTTAAACCCAATTGAGAACCTTTGGTGCATCCTATCAGCGAAAGTTTACAAGGGTGGAAGACAGTTTGAGTCGTTGAAGAGCTTGAAGGAAGCCATTGTGAAAGAATGGGATACCATCGACACAAACACGCTCCAAAACTTGGTCAACTCGATGCCCCGACGTTTAGAATTGGTCAACCAAGAAAACGGAGATTCAATACCATATTAAAATAATAATTTTAAGTCATTTTGTTACCTAGATCCTTAATAATTTGCGTTTTTTTTCAATTTTTCAATTTCAATTTTGTTTTTTTCAATAATTTGCGTTTTTTTTTTGAAAGTTGACAAATATCAACTTTCTTTGAACAATTTTTTCAATTAAATTTTTTATGTATTAAACATTTTATAATTTAATAAAAATCATGTTTATCAAAATTCAATACCAACTACCTATTGAAATAAAATATTGATAAAAAATGCGCCAAGTAAAAGTTAAAGAATAAACCAAAAAAATATGATGCACAAATATCAATTTTACTGAGGTAGAAAGGTATTGCCGAGAAAGAGTGGCTTTAATCGACCACATTAAACGACTCGGCTTTCCAGTCTTGCACTGCAGGTTCTTGCTATACCTGCCAGTAGTGCAGCCGCAGAAAGGGTTTCTTCGGAAAAGCGAAATAGGCTTACTTCAAAGTTGGTTGACAACATTATTTTTCTAACCTCTTTATATAAAATTCGGACGATGTAAAGTATATACTGTTTTCATACCCTTGCAGAGGGTATTATAATTTTGTCCAAAAGAGTGCAACGCAGTGAAAGAGGCATCTCCGACCCTATAAAGTATATACATTCTTGATCAGGATCACCTCCTGAGTTGATATGAGCATGTCCGTTTGTCCGTCTGTCTGTCCGTTTCTACGCGAACTAGTCTCTCAGTTTTAAAGCTACCCTTGCACGCAGTATATAAGTCGGAACGGCCGGATCGGCCAACTATATCCTATAGCTGTTATACAACTGATTGATCGGAAATGCTGTAACTTTGGTGTTTTTAGAGTTAGAGAGTTCAACATGAGAGTTACTTTTGTCAAAATAATACGACATGCCAAATTTCAAAAGGATCGGCCGACTATATCTTATAGCCGCCATATAAATGAACGATCGAAAATGACCTAACTTTCGTGTTTTTGAAGAAAGCTGTAACCCTAGAAAATAGAAATATTTTGTTTAATATAGAATTTTTTTATATTTTATCTCTGTCAGTGGTCGGCACCCAATACATTGATATGATTTTAACGCAGTATTATTAGTATAGCAGAAAGTACCCAGCAGTTCGTCGGACTAGTGCATGGGTGTCGAATTCACTATGCCTCTAGGGTAGACGAGTACCCACCAGTCAATACATGTATTTCAGAGGCGAATTTAACTAAGGCATCACCTCTTCGTATACCAATGAGTATCGAATTGGGGTAATCAAAAAGAGTACCCAAATACATACCACTAAGGGACATCGATTTAGGTACGGAATTGGGTACTCTATACAGAATAGCCACATGGGTATCTACCAAGGGACATCGATTTACATACCCAGAAAAAAATGTTTTCTTATAAAGTTTTGTTTTTTATTATATATAAAATTATTAAATATAATAAACATACATTTAATTCATTTTTAAAAATTTATAAAATTTTTTTACATATTTTAAATTCACATAATTAGACCATTTCATTTGGCTTAAAAATACTTGTGTTATGTGTGCAAAAATTATGTATTGTTGTTGTTGTTTGAGGCATATTTTTTTTTGAATTGCCTTTTTTTTACAATTGAATAGCCCGGCGAAGTTGTCATTGCATCTAATATTATAAAAAAATCATTACACAGCTCCACAAAAAAAAAAAAAAAATTCAGAGATCAGACCATACCTCCTATATGGATTTGGGGTCGCTGAATCCGAATCCGTGGTCAGTTGGTCGCCATCACGTCAGGTTTTCGAGAAAATAACGGTTGAATAGTCGAAAAACGCCGTTTTTGGCCATTTTCGAAAAATCGTACCGCAAAATTCTGATGTGTTACAAACCTAATTCAAAATGGAAATGAAAGGCTGATTTGTGATCTTTAAAACGAGCTCCATGCCAATTTTTCGCATGCACCGTTAGGACAGGGGGTGCGTTTATATGTAGGCATCTTAGCAAAAAATGTATGCCGAACACAAAAATTTCAAAATTCAGCATATTCAAATAAAACATGGTACCCGGGGGTTTTTGGGGTCGCTGAATCCGAATCTGAGGTCAGTTTGACGCCATCACGTCAAGTTTCTTCATAACCTCAAACAAATAGCGTCAACCCAGAAAACGCCTTACCTAAAATAACCAAACGCAAGTTAACCTAAATTAACCTATCTAATTCTAAGTTAACCTAACCTAAAATTATTCAACCTAACTTAATCTAAATTAATTAAAAATGGAAGCAAGATTTACTGGTCCTTGCTTCTCTTGTGATACCTCACTTGTTTGCATTCAAACGATCGACGCAGGGAACGTCGCTTACAACCTTTCTTGTCTTTCACATCATCCCGTTTGAGACTCCAGCAATAGTCTGCCATCATATGGACACCCCATTTTCCTTGATATCGCTTTTCCATATCCCGCATGATAAGAAATCAATATGTGAATCCAAGAAATGCATTTTAACAGTCATATTGCAACCTAGAAGATCGAATTTGTTAATCATCTCACTTACCATCTTCTTGTAATTTGGGCTCTTCTTATTCCCTAGAAAATTTTGGCAAACATCGCGAAAACTTGTCCATGCAGCTTTCTCCGTTTTCGTCATATGATCTGTAAAATTACCATCGTTAAATAGTATCCGAATTTTTGGGCCGTCAAAAATACCTGCTTCTAATTTTGCCACACTGAGCGTAGGCATTTTTTTTGCGATGTATTCAAAACATTTGCCAGTCTTATCCAAAGCCTTGACGAACTGAGTCATTAGCCCAAGTTTCAGATGTAAAGGTGGCACTAAAATTTTTGATACATCTACGAGAGGCGCTTTCAAAACATTAGGTGATCCAGGTTCCAAGGACTTACGTTCTGGCCAATTCTTCTTTTTATAATGATTTGATCGATCTCTGCTATCGAAGAGACATAAAAAGCAGGGATATTTGATGTTACCACTTTGCATTCCCAGGATGATCCCTATAATTTTCAAATCACCACATAGAAGCCAGTTATGATCAGAGTATTTTATTTTATCAAGAACTATACTCACGTTTTCATACGATTCCTTCATGACTGTAGAATGAGCTATAGGTATCGGAGCTAGAACGTTCGTGTTGTGGAGTAGTATAGCTTTTAGACTGCGAATTGATGAGTCTATAAAAAGACGCCACTCAGTCCGCTTATATTGTCATGATATTTGTGGAGCTGTGTTATTAAAATTAAAACCAATATTGCTCTTAAATTCTTACCAAGTAGTACTAAAAATACATTTTGAGCTGTTTTTAATGAGGATTTCCCCTTATAATTGACACCTGAAATAAATTTGCATGCCTTATAATTGACAACTGAAATAAATTTTCATTTATTAATAATTCAAGGCTTCTTTCTGATAGTACTTACATAGTTATTTTTGTTGTTCTCGTTTATTTTAGAATTAAGAATATTAAGCTCCTCTCCCTTTTTTATAGGGAACTGGCTTCGCAGTTCATTCACATTTATGTGACCTCGCTGAAGCAATCTAATATCCGTTTTCTGCTCGGCTAGCGCTTCCACAACTATTTGAATTTGGTCGTGGTTTATATTGTGTTCCACTAAAAGTAATAAAAATTTTATTTAGTATATGTGAATACAATATAAATAAAATTAATACTTTCTTTCCAATTTTTCAACTTTATCGATGAGAAGATTTAATTTTCTCTCCAAGTTCGTCAGACATTTGCATTTTGATTGTGGTTCTAGAATATGCATTTTTTAAACATTAGTTTAAACACTTAAAAATTAATCATTAAAAACTTACGGATATTGTTGAAAGCAAGATGCTGAATTTTTCGTGGGCTTTCCGACATCTTAGATAAATTTCAGGATACATTGAAGAATATTAATTAAAAATATGGAGCAAAGGCAACAATAAAATACTATTTTCATGGGGGATGGCAAAAGCCTTACCTGTAAGGTCTTCCAAAATAAAATTTTCGTCATTTTCATTCGAAGCTACGTCAACTAAATATTGCGTATATGCCTATATCTATTGAATTTATGGGTTCGTCATAGAAACATCGAATGTTTTGCAATTTTCGTCCAGTAAAACCTCCGCCATTCTCGCGTAAAATTTTTGTTACAATAACTGGTGTATTGTCTTTTATGTAACAGTAAGTATTTGGTGATGTGTTTTTTATTGTACACCTCTTAAATGCAATGTAATTTTTTTTTTAATTTGGCGTCAGAATTCTTAGTGAAAGACTCAATTGCGTCTTCCTCAATTTTTCTATGAATTTGTTGCAGAATTTTTGTGGGCTAGCGTATACTACGCTTCCACGTTTGTAAATAGTTTTCAAACTTATATGCTGAGCCTTCTACGGGATCTCCCACCAGATCAACAGTGTCTTTAATGTGAAGCAAGCTGTGCACATTATAGCTTACACTGTTGTCTCCAAAAATGGCTGGGAAATTTTGGACAAAGAGCATATTTTGACACATACCTAAGTTGGACGGACTATACTATACATAACAATCTATGTATACGCACAATGAAGTAACAGGAAGACATAATAATGATCAGACGGAATTTCGGTTTTTAAAACAAATATATACTAGTTTACAAAACCAATTGACGAAATTCAGTTGCTTTCCAATACGAAATTTCTGACAATTCTCTTGGTTTTCTCTGGAACTCTTTTGGAACATGTTTTCTCAGAGAAACTAAGGATTTTGATATATTTTGGTTTCTTTCGTTTAATTTTTACTCGCATTTTATTTTTCATTAATCGAATCAAAAATGTTCTACCAACTCCTAAATCCATTAGATGCATACAATCTAGAGGTATTTGCGATACCACCTGTAGATTGATGCGCTCTAATGGAGTTTTTTTATTCTGAAATTGAGGAGTGTGATGAAAGAGTTATTTTCTACTCGAAAAATCCGCATCGGTAATAATGTCTTCCGCTACTGTGCTGTATGTTTAGACATGGTCAATTTTTCGCGCTTTTTGCGTACATTTTGCACAGCTGTCAGAAGCAGTGCACAGTGGTTGCTCCCATAGGCCAAAAATAAAAAAATTGATAACGGCAAAAATGTACGAAAAGTAAACAAATCGCCTCTCGGCAAACCAGATTTTTCTAGATATCTAACGGTATTTTCTAAAAATAGATTTAAAGATGTGAACAGTTACTCATTTTTAAAGCGCAGCTGCGCGCAACTAAACCGAACTTTGAAGTGGTCAGATCATTATTTACGTGCTCAAATTCAAATTATTTGTAATGGATTTTGAAGTTGAAGGTATTTTCTATAAAATGAGATACAATTTAATTATTGTTATTATTATATTACTATGAACTAATACATGTTTTTTACCTATATTTTGAACGTCTTTCTCATGTTAAGCTAAAGTTTTAGTAGTGATTCTACGAAATTCTACAATTCGTTTATATACCAATGTGCTTGTCGGTCTCCAAAGGTAACAAATGTGTAAAAATTTTTTGCCAAAATTTGCCTATTTGCCTAATATTGTAAAAATACTAACACCATCTTAACTTTTTCAGGGTCACTTTTGCCATATATTTACTTGTTATGCTGTTACTCTGTCTTCGTGTGTCATGCTTGTGTTTACTTTTCCAAAACTATTTGTTCATTTACTAATAGTTTTTATTTTGTTTGATATTCCCTTGCATTAAATTTTAATAGGTTGTTCTTATAAGTGTGTGTTTGCACGATCTTATATTTTTAATTTATGGTGCGGCAAAAAGAGAACCAGCGCAGAAAGACAAAAAAATTTGATTGAATGCCTGAAAGCGAACATTATAAAAAACGGCTATTTTGCTGACATGAGATAACTATCAAAGCGAATTGAATACATATGTAAAAGGATTGTTACGTTTTGGTTGAAATAAAATCGTACGAAAGCTGTAATTCTCCAAAGTCAATCTGATTGGTTCAAGGAAAAAGAAACAATTCTGTTAAGATGTGCCCCATCTAAATCCAAAAGTTCTGACCGTGGACGACCGAAAATAGATTTTATGTAAGCTTCTAAGCGGACAAAACGACGAAGAATTGCTGAGCAATCACAAGCTGACGAATCTATGGCTACTGTATTACTCATCTCAACCAACGTTTACCGAATTTAATGTGGATGAAGTCTTGTCACTCTTTATTGATACAAATATGAGTAAACATCAATATTTGCTTATTCGTAGTTTTGTTAATAGTAAGACTTCCTTTAATTTACTACCAAGCTACGAAAAACTTCTAGCGGCCAAGGCTTTAAGTTATCCCAAAACTATCAATGTCAGCGAATCCGAAGCCGAAGTTGAGCTTCAAAGCTTGTTGGATCACACGGCGTTACGAATTATAGAACTTCAAGCTGATGTCCTTGAGAGCATGATGATGATGATGATAGCGTGGTTGACTTGATTTTAATTGGCAAGTGGGAATTGACGGCAGTTCTGGTCATTCCGAATATAAATAGAAAGCATTGAACAGTAACATTGATGATTCGAATTTGTTTGTGACTTCGTATGTACCACTGCAACTAATTACTCAGGAAAATGATCCCCAGAAACACAAAGTAATTTGGAAAAATCCGCGACCGTCATCCACACGTTACTGCAGACCAATACGATTCCAATTCCAAAAAGCAATAACACAATTGACTTTATATGAAGCCAAATACTTTAGGAATAAAATATCTGCGCTGGAGCCATATACATGTAAAGCACTAACCAAAAATATTACAATTCCACATCGTTTGCAGTCGTTTTTGCATCGTTTGGAAAATGGTTGAGGGAATAGTCTTTAGAGCTTTAAGTGAAACATCAACTTGTGAATGCTACATACAATGTGACGCAAAGCCGAGCGAAATGAATGACTTGAAAAAATGGTTAAGCAAAAAAGTTCACGAAGAACATTATGAGTTTGGGTTGTCTCCGTTGCACTCATATATTCGATTTTTTTTAATATTTCTTGCATTTGGCATACAGATTGCATTTGAAAACATGGCGAATTTGTACCCCAGAAGATAAAAAAAGCCTTTAACGATAAGAAAACACAAATTCAAGCAGACTTCCGCGTCCAAATGGGATTACATGTTGACCAACCAAGAAGTGGAGGTAGTGGAACTTCAAATGACGGTAATACGGCAAGAAGGTTTTTTAGTGACACAAAATTGTCTGCTGATATAACAGGATTGGATGAAGATGTTTTAAATAGATGTGCAACATTACTACAATACATGGCATCTGGATATAAAATAAATACGGAAAAATTTTGATGCTTTGCACTTGACACCGCAATTATTCTAATTAAATTTTACCCATGGTATTACCTTCCACCTTCAGTTCACAAAGTTTTAATCCAAGGTCCGGAAATGATAAATTATGCGCTTGTTTCGATAGGAAAATTATCTGAAGAAGCTGCCGAATCCAAAAATAAAGACATAATAAAATGTAGAGAACATCATACTAGGAAAATGTCACGAGTTGACACAAATAGGGATTTGTCCACTAAACAATATTTTCAATCTCTGCATTTGCCTTTGGCTTTGTCTTTGGCTCAATTATCCAACCCATAAATCCAAGCCACTTATGGCTTTCCACTTATAAATTGTATAAACAATATTTTCAAACTCTGCATTTGCTTTCGGCTTTGTCTTTGGCTCTGAGGTCCGATCTCAGTTCCCCATAAACAAATCAAAATCAAAAGTAAACATCAGCTTCCCTCCGAAGCCCAATCAATTACGCCTTTTGCGTTTAGCCACCAAATTGCATCGATCAGCTTAATCGAATTTCACAATAAGATGCGACATTTTCATCTTAAGCCTCTAATCTAAAAACAACTGATGGCAGGTTCTTTGGATCAGATTTAGAATTAAGAAGTCAGTCCTATTTTGACCGAGACCGCGAACGGTTGACGGAAAATAATTAAGAATAAAAAGTGTCTTGTAATAATTAAGTTTAATAAATAAAGGTTTAAGACCAAGTTGTATAATTAAAAAATAAAATTTACATTTTTTTAATTTACCGAACTAAAAACAATTTAACTTACATATATGAATTCGCGATTGTTTTTACTTTTGGTTAGTCTTCACCAGCGTTCTCATTAACAGGTCAAATATTAAATATAGGTCTTGGAAAAAAACAAATTTTTTAAAAGTTGCCGTATTTTTG